GAATCTGAAGAACTTTCATGAAAATTCCCCGAGGTTTAGAATTCTTTGGGTATCTTTTCTTTTGAGTTTTCCCAAGCTCGATTCTTGTCAGTACATCAGACATACAAATATTATTCACGAAAGTAAATAGAAAATTTTAAATTAAATATTTTTCTAAAAATTTCAAAATTTTTCGCGTATTGAAATTTTATCAATTTACACCTTGAATACAAATGATTGTCAACTTTCGGTAATATTTACTAATTTTGATCTTGTCTCAACAAGGTCACTTCGATTTTGAGATAGGTCACTTTTTCGAATTAATTCAAATTTTTCAGATATAGGGGAGACTAGGTGCGGTTGTTACAGTGTGCAGTTGTTACAAATGGAATATCTCAGAAACAGTTAGTTATAGGGATGGTGTTCCAAAGAGAAAAATGTTTAGTTTTTATGTACGAAGTTACTGCAATATGTTTAAAAATTATATGCAAGCTTTACAAATAAAAAATAGGCACATTGGTTTTTAGACCCAAAAGTAAATATTTCTCTGTCTGATATTTTTTAAATAATTAATAGACCTTTATACTTAACAAAATAAATTTTTTTAATATCAATTCTGGGTCAGAATTTCTCAAACGGATCACCTAAAACTAAAAATTTTTCTTTTTGAACCAAAATAGTTTTTTTTGACTCTTAATATGGTTAAGAAGAATCCCTGAAAATATTAAGCCAAAAAAAATTTTTTTGTTAAAGTTATTAACAATTGAATTTTTTAGTACTGCTAAATTAACAAATTTTTTCTCGAGTTCTAGTTGACGGATTTTAAAATTAAAATATGGATTTTTTTCGTCTTGAATTGCACTATTTGAATATATTTTTTGTTTTTAAATTTTTTTATTTTTTATAATTTTTTATATAATTTGTTTATAAAATGTAAATAAACAAATATGTTCTTCACGTCCTAACAAAATAATTAAAATTGTATTCTATTCCTTAAATGTCTCCGAGTGAAAAACCGTTTCGAAAAAAAATGAGTCTCAATTAGAAAAAAAGTTATTAATTAAAAACTGCAGCCGTTGAGGGCTTTATATGATGTTAAACTCGACCCGCGCGCATTGGCATTTTTTCAAAATTGTCTGTAACCTACAAATTTTATCGGATTTTCATGGGCTTGATCTTAAATTAAAGGGGATAAAATTTCTAAGAGATCCCACTAAACCAATTTTTGAATTTTAAATTGTTTATAATTTTTTTGGTACTCAAAGTTAACAATTTACAATATTTTTAGATAAAATCATGTTTACTTTTTTATTTTTTTATTGCAGATGATTGGAATCAATTTTAATTAGTCCAGCATGACCACCAGACAAATAATAATGTATAATGCAATTTATTTAAATTGTTGCAAACAATGTTAATTAACAAATACATAACTTTGGTTCTTTTTTATAAACAAAATTTTTTTTTCAGACAAATTTATATTTATTTAAGTAATCTATGTCGATTTTGGTAAAAATTTATTTTGAATTTAATAATTACTATTGTTATTAACATTTATATGAACAATAATCTAGTTTCTTTGACATTTGTAAACATTTTAGGCATTTTTTAAACATAAAATGTCTATATAATATGTACATTCTTTCAAAAACTTCAAAAATTTTTTAGCATAAACAATTACATTTGTTGGAAACAAACTAGTTACTTTTTAAACAAATAAATGGCTTATTTCTGCAAAAAGAAAAATTATTTTTCTTATTTTAACGAGTTTAAAGTCATGTAAAGCTCTACTTGATTATTGATAACTAGATTGTTGTCTATATGATTGTTAATAACAATAGTAATTATTAAATATAAAATAATTTTTTATCAAAATCGACATAGATTACTTAAATAAATATAAATATGTCTGAAAAAAAATTTTGTTTATAAAAAAGAACCACAGTTATCTATTTATTAATTAATTAATTGTTTGCAACAATTTAAATAAATTGTATTATACATTATTATTTGTCTGGTGGTCATGCTGGACTAATTAAAATTGATTCCAATCATCTGCAATGAAAAAATTAAAAAGTAAACATGATTTTTTCTAAAAATATTGTAAATTGTTAACTTTGAGTAACAAAAAAAATATAAACAATTTAAAATTCAAAAATTGTTTTAGTGGGATCTCTTAGAAATTTTATCCCCTTTAATTTAAGACCAAGCCCATGAAAATCCGATAAAATTTGTAGGTTACAGACAATTTTGAAAAAAATGCCAATGCGCGCGGGTCGAGTTTAACATCATATAAAGCCCTACACGGCTGCAGTTTTTAATTAATAACTTTTTTTCTAATTGAGGCTCATTCTTTTTCAAAACGGTTTTACACTCGGAGACATTCAAGGAATAGAATACAATTTTAATTATTTTGTTAGGACGTGAAGAACATATTTGTTTATTTACATTTTATAAACAAATTATATAAAAAATTATAAAAAATAAAAAAATTTAAAAACAAAAAATATATTCAAATAGTGCAATTCAAGACGAAAAAAATCCATATTTTAATTTTAAAATCCGTCAACTAGAACTCGAGAAAAAAATTTGTTAATTTAGCAGTACTAAAAAATTCAATTGTTAATAACTTTTACAAAAAAATTTTTTTTTGGCTTAATATTTTCAGGGATTCTTCTTAACCATATTAAGAGTCAAAAAAAACTATTTTGGTTAAAAAAGAACATTTTTTAGTTTTAGGTGATCCGTTTGAGAAATTCTGACCCTTCTATGAGGATTAAGCTTTAAAAAACTGCCTTGGTTGTCCACCTTTACTGTATACTTTTTTAATAAAGTGTTTTATTGTAAAAAATGTACCTGTTGTGCAGTTGTTACAAGTAATAATGAGAATCGATATTTTTTCCAAAATTCAGCAGATTCGTTTGAAATGTAAAATATTTGTCAAAAATGTAATCACACTTATTTTTTTTGAAAAATTGCATGGTTTTTCTAAATTCGTCTTCAAAATTAATGAAAAAAAACTTTTTTAAGTTTCTTTCATTTCGAAACAATATTAATGCTGCCATCTCTATGAAAGTGTCACGTACTATTAAGTTGAGCAAAAAATTATAAATAAATAATTAATAAAAATGGTTATAAAAAATTATTTGTCTTCAATTTAGAAATTTTATAGATGATTTTTGGTATTGTGACAACCGACATTCACTTTGTGCAGTTGTTACAATTTACACGCTGTCACTCAAATGATTCCAGTTAATTAAATAATAGATATAGAGCTAAATCAATTATGGCCTTTTAAAACTAGAAAATATACCTTTGATTTAATCGTTTCACTAAACAAATTGGAGTTAAATTCTAATCACAGTAACTGTTTTTATCAACATTGTAACAACTGCACCTAGTCTCCCCTACTTTCATTGCAGATACATTATTTTTTATTAAATATCTAAAAACTTTAGAAAAATTGAATGCATTTCATACCATACATTTTTTCTTATCTTCTAAAAGTATTAGAGAAGAAATTGTTTCAAAATCTTTTGCTTCTGAAGAAGTTAAATTATAAAAAAATCACAACTTCCACAATTTGCATCTAATAACAAAATAAAAAATACCTTTTTTATCACTCTGAGACAAGGTTGACTTCACTCCGAGTAACCTTGAGTCGGAGTGATTTTTACTTTCAATTAAAAATTTTAATTAGTTTTTTGGTGTAATAAATGTGTTTTTTTCTCTTGTTGGTCTAAAATTATATATTTGTTTTTAAAAAAATGACATGAGAACAACGTCTATGTCAATAATAAAGCTTTCGTCCTTCAAAGAAAGACCTCCTCAGTATGAATTTTTTTACAATCAGTGAAATCTGTTTTAACAGTCATATTTTTTTGACTAAATAGTCAATATTAGCAACTAAATTAAAATTTAAGTTGCACGTCATAAGATTGCACGTCATAAAATTGCACATTTTTACAGTTAGTTTAAATATGATTTCAAAAACAGCATAAGTTGTTCTCATGTCATTTTTTTAAAAACAAATATATAATTTTAGACCAGCAAGAGAAAAAAACACATTTATTACACCAAAAAACTAACTAATTTTATTCTGGTCAAAACCAATTTACATCTTCTTAAAATTTTAATTATTTGACGACTGACTGATAGAATCATCATTATATTACGATTAATAATTTCGAAAGAAATATTATTTAATAAACAGAATAATTATTAGAATAGTAATTACAAAAATAACTAAATAGTAAAAGGAATTAAAAATAATCTTTAAATAAATGCATAAAATTAATTTAATTTGGTTTAATTCTAATGCTGTTTACATAAGTGGATAATTCATTATAGCGGATCCAATATGGAGGAAGTTTTTTTTGAAAATTGATCCGATTCAAAACAATAGTATAGCTATTCCATTACTGGCGCATAGTTCCAACGGCTGCCGCTAGATGGCGCCACTGTCGCATACCTGCGATCGGTAATTACCGTTAGTCGGTAAGTAGACCTCTAACTTATCAGTTGTTGGTAAGGTATATTTCTCTTGGTAAATTTACCTCGGCCGGTAAGGTAGTGATCTGTTTTACCGACCAATCGGACACTTCGGCTACTCTTGGTTGGGGACTGAATTAATTTACCATTAAATATTTATTTGGTGAATTTGAATTTTCGCGTTAAGTGTTAGTTCCCTCTGTCGGCAGAAACTTTAACTAACCTTGGTTGGGGACTTTTGAATTAATTTGCCATTAAATATTTTATTAGAGAATTTTAATTTTCGCTCCATGTGTTAGTTCCCTTTGTCGGAAGAAAAATGAACTACCCTTGGTTGGGGACTTTAAAATTAATTTATAATTAAATATTTTATTAGAGAATTTAAATTTTCGCGCCTAGTGTCGGTAAAGCGCGTTCCACACTAGATGCACGACACGACGCGCGTGCCCTCTCTGCTCCATCTACCAAATGCTTTCCCCTCCTCACGTAGGAGAAGTTAGTATTGAAGAGGGGGCACGCACGTCGTGTCGTGCATCTAGTGTGGAACGCGCTTAATGTGTTACCGCATTTAGTTTTAAACGCCACCGTAATTCTGAAGTGAGAAATTGGGGAATCACCATGGTCCTCCATGGTTGAGGGAATCGACCTATATAAAGGAGAGCACAAGCTGAGCACAGCACTACATGGTATCCACAACAGAAGACCACAACAGCTACCATTATGAGCAGCCAAGTCGACACCATCATTTTAGTCTCTGAGGATGAGGGGATTGATATTCCGAGTCCAGGGTTCATTGATGTCCAACCTAATGTTGTATATGTCTGCGATGCATCAACGCAGACAGAAAATCTCGTTGACGGGGAAGAAGTGCGTCTCGCTGACGAGGAGAACGTGGACCTCGTTAACATGGAAAACGGGGATCTTGATGCTATTGATATTGACTTTACACAGGTTGAAGTTGTGGAGCTACTACGTACAATGGGCTTGACTATGGAAGATTTTAATAATTTTAAAAATGTAAATTATTTAGATTACTTACTTTTTTCCAAAACGTTCAAATATTTAAATTTTATTTTGTTCAAATTTTATTGAGAAGCATATATTTTTTTAAAAATATATTTGTTTTAATATATATATTAAAGTTTCAAATTATAAACTTTAACTTTCAGCTTGGTCAATGTGTGGTGGAAGCTGATGATCTTTCTGATATACGACCATCAACTCCAGAGGCAAATAGTCTCTGACGTAGAAGAAGAAGGAGAAGAGACATGTTACCGATGCGAGCGGAGACGCTATTGTCGAAAGCACAGACGTAGACATCACCATCGCAGCCATCATCATCATCATAGTCGTTATCATCGTAGCCGTCAACATCCATTTAAACAAAATTAAATCTGTAGAATATTATTATAGATTTGTTTAATCTAAATTTTATTGTAATAAAAAACTAATTTTACTAATTTTCATAATGCTGATTTACTTATTAATTAATTTCAATAAATAGTAAAACATGCGTTAGAATGATAATAATTAAAAAAAAATTTGGATCCTTCTGATCCTAAATAAATAATCATGATTATCACTGTGTTTTGATATCAAATTAGTTTTAAAATATTAATAAACAAAACTAGTCCAGCTGTTCTTTCATCTCATTGCCACTGTGGCGCTGTGTATTTAATTCTCTATACATCGTCTACTCTCTCACTCTCTTGTGTTGATTTTTCTTTATCTTCACGGTAGGGCTGTGTGATTGTACCCTTACAAAAACTGTCCAATTATGAACCCAATTAAAATTCAAGTTACATAGGACGAGATGCTTTTCATTACTGTGTTTTTTACTCATATGTCAAACGTTAAAGATAAAACGATGCGTTGTTTCATTATTTGACATTATTAATAAATTGTTTATGAACAAGTCATTTTAACGTGAAAGGTTTGTTACATACTTTTTACGTTTTTACGTTACACCAGTATGGTATTATCGAAATACTATCGAGATCGATTAATCGATATAGAAGTTGTGGATGCATCTTAAGGATTGTTATACTTTAGAAAATACGGTTATGTTTTCAAAGCATCTGACGGGAGAAGTGTTTTAATAATCTCCATGCTTTCAGCAGTTTAATTTATTTTCTTTTAATAAAAAAAGAATCAATGATCAAAGAAAATATGTGTAAAAAAGGGTTATGTAGTATTGTTTACAAATCAGAAGTAATAAAAAACGTATTTGTCACTGATCCTAGAAGGAAAAGTCTAGATTTAAAAGTAATAGATTTTCGAAAATGGCCAGTGGACAGATTAAGTGAAGAAGAAATTCAAAAGAACGATAACGAGGTAAAATAAATAAACTTTAAAAATATGTTTGAAATAAAACAAATATGCTAGACATAGATCATAAGTGAGTGACAAAGTAATTGAAACACATGTTTATTAAGTCTAACATTACAAGAATAAATAATAGAATTCAAGTGTGTGTAACTCAAATTGTGTTTATTTTGTATATTCGACAGCAAAAGTATTTAAGAGAAGCTATTCGTCAGAAAGAGATGCGTCTCAAAGAAATAAATAAGAAAATCAATCTTAACGAAATCTGTCAACAGTTACAAGAGGTAAAAAAATATATAATATGAATTTTCATCTTATTTTACTCATACAAGGAAAAAAAGGTTTACGTGGAACAATGAAAATCTTAACAACAGCTTTCACTGTTTTAGTTAAACTAGAACCAAAAGGGCGCGCGTTGCGCGCCCACTCCTGGTCCTTTAACACACAAAATAAAACCTTAATGTAACCTTAAATTAAATCTTAATTTAATAAAAACCTATGTTTATATTTTAAAAATTATTTTTCTGTTAATAAGATTGTTTAAAAATTTTTTAATTTTTTTAATCTAAGTTTGACGAATTGAATTTTCTATAAAAAAATTACACGTTAATGCCTATAAAAAATTCTCATTCTGGAAAAAATCACCTTTTAAATAAGCCTAAAATCATTAAAAAGCATTCAGTATTTTAGAAGTCATTAAAATTTTTGTAAAACATTGAAAATTATCATTTTTTAAAAATGTCTAAATAAAATATTGATCAAATTACTTGAAAAATTATGTACAAACTCCAAGGATTAATTTAAAAAAGAAAAATCAGTAACCTTCTATATTATAGAAATTGTGTAGATTTTTCTGCCAAAATACAGGCGAAATTTTTTTTAAATTAATACTTGGAGTTTTGCACATCAATACAGGGTAATTTAATTTTCCCAAAATATTGAGAACATTCTTGAATTTGCAATTGTTTTAAAGAATTGTTAATAACAATTTTAAAATTTCATTTTTTAACAATCCCTTTATTTTATCATTAAAGTATAGGGTGTATTCCACGTCAGTTCAACACAAAAAATTTTATTAGGTTTTGGGACTCGGTTGAAATTGGATAGATTATATCCTCTGGTGGTAATAAATAAAATCCCCAAGCGATTTTAAAAAATTTCAAAAATTGGCGGACATATTGGATTTTTAATTTTTTTGTACTTTTTTTTGAAAAATATATATCTCTGCTTGTTCTTAACGGATTTTAGTTTATGACCTCTTAAATTGTTCGTATTGAAATATACTTTTATTTAAAAAATTAAAATTAAGAAAATTATTTAAATTTTTTGTTTAAAAAATTAATTTCATTTTTTGAAAAGCCATAGAAAAAATATGCTACCTTCAATTTTGATCATTTTTTTACCATTTGTAGCCATAAATGTGTTGAACTTGTCCTAAAATTTTCATCGTGGGACAGCCAGTAGTTTTTGAGAAAAAAAATAAAACGTAAATCCTCGCATAGCGCTGTAGCGCTCAGTTTTAATGCCGCACGATTGTAAATGGAATTTTAATGAAAGTACGAGTTTTTATTAAACCTAGAACTAAAATATGATTTGTTTATAGACTAACGAAAAACTGGGGTGGTTTGGTACCCCAGATTTGAAACAATTGTAAAAGGTTACCTTTTTTGTAATTTTTTTAATTTGTCAACAATGTGGCTAATTTAAAAAAATTAAACGGATTTTAAAAGGTAAATAGAGACAATTTTATTTTGATTAAGGCAACTTGAAAATTTAAATATTATTTACAATATATACAAATGTTAAATGATTTTAAAATAGAATCAAAATCATTTATTACAAAGGAGGTTTCTATTTTTTACGGGGGAGTTTCCGAGGTCTTACAGTTTTTCTTTATTTACCTTTTAAAATCCGTTTAATTTTTTCAAATTAGCCACATTGTTGACAAATTAAAAAAATTACAAAAAAGGAAAACTTTTACAATTTTTTCAAATCTGGGGTACCAAACCACCCCAGTTTTTCGTTAGTCTATAAAAAATCATATTTTAGTTCTAGGGTTAATAAAAACTCGTACTTTCATTAAAATTCCATTTACAATCGTGCGGCATTAAAACTGAGCGCTACAGCGCTATGCGAGGATTTACGTTTTATTTTTTTTCTCAAAAACTACTGGCTGTCCCACGATGAAAATTTCAGGACAAGTTCAACACATTTATGGCTACAAATGGTAAAAAAATGATCAAAATTGAAGGTAGCATATTTTTTCTATGGCTTTTCAAAAAATGAAATTAATTTTTTAAACAAAAAATTTAAATAATTTTTTTAATTTTAATTTTTTAAATAAAAGTATATTTCAATACGAACAATTTAAGAGGTCATAAACTAAAATCCGTTAAGAACAAGCAGAGATATATATTTTTCAAAAAAAAGTACAAAAAAATTAAAAATCCAATATGTCCGCCAATTTTTGAAATTTTTTAAAATCGCTTAAGGATTTTATTTATTACCACCAGAGGATATAATCTACCCAATTTCAACCGAATCCCAAAACCTAATAAAATTTTTTGTGTTGAACTGACGTGGAATACACCATAGACTTTAAGCTTTAATTAAAAAAAAATTACTTAATTATTACTTCCTCATAGAGAAAGTATTGTAATACCAAAATTTTTCGAGCTCGATTTTTTGATATATCTTTATGTTATTTGACCTCAGGAGTTGCGCACATAAAGTGAGCGTACTTTGTGATAGATTAATAAAGTTTAACTAAATTTTTTTTTGGATTTTTAATTTTCCAAAAACACATTTTTTGCCCATAACTTTAAAAAAATGTTAGGATACCTATAAATGTTTTTCCATAATTTTGTAGAGTTTTTTTAAACGCATCTTTTGAGTCCTAATTGAACATTTTTCGTCCATATTAACCGGAGATATTAAACTTTTAAAAATCATAAATTTTATAAAAAAATATTTTTTTGAAAATTTTGTTAAAAAATGTAGAAGTAATCTTAAAATTATCGTTACCAACTTGTAGAGCATTATAAAACGATTCGATTGACCTATTTTTGAACCTAATTCGATAATAAATTTCGAAATTATTGGTATTTTAAAAACCAAAAATTGTGGAAAATGACATTTTCTCAACTTTTTTGTTTGAAAATTTTTGTTTAACTATTAAACTATTATAACTATATTGTAAAGTATTTAAAAATACATTGATTGACCCAAAATTCAATCACTTTCACCATATTTATAAAAAGTTATTTATATATTTTCCTATTATTATTATCTCTATGAGGAAGCAAAGTGTTCATGAAATGAGCGCACCAAAATTATAAAAAATATACAACTTGGCAGCGGTTTCTTTCTTTGTTTCAAAGTAATAATAATATGAAAATAAAATGATCTAAAACTTTAACACCAAATTACTTTAATAATAAAATTTTTTTTTTGAAAAAGTTTCCCTTATTGGGAAAATTTTTTTTTCCTTATTGGGTCAAAATCCATTATATTAAAACATCAAAGATGTTTTTGTTGGGATTAAATTATTCTCCAATTAATGATTTACTAACATTTATTAAATCAATTTTAATTAATTGTACACTATCTGCAAAAATTATGTAAATGCTGCATTTTAGTGCTATAAAAAATTTTTTCATTTTGCAAAATGTATTAATTAACATTTTTCCCGTCTAAGACACTAAAACTCAATATAAGTATTCAAAAATAAATCTTAAAAGTAAAATTTAATTAACTTTCCAAAATCATTAAAAAATTTCTTGACTTTGTCTTGTTTAGTAAAATTAATATAATTTTGGAAATACTTTACATGTTTTAATGTCCTTTGGATAAAGCTGAAATAAGCATTTAGTTTATTTTAATACAATTAATGTTAATAGTATTAATTTATGCTAATAGTATTTAACATTAAAATCTACAAGTAAATATGTAAATAAAAAAGCCAAACATGACAGAATTTTATGTATTATCCTAAATTCAATGCTTGGCCATTTATGGTTAAAAAAGTATCAAGCTAAAATAAAAATTGTCTTTTTCAAAACATTTACAATACAAAATTTTTTAAAATTTTTCATTTTTACTCATAGTAATCATAATAATACAACACTATCCTACA